CGTACTGGGAGAGGAAATGTACGGATCCTGCGCTGCACGGACCGTTGAAGGCGGAGTCAAATCCAGGCCGAAACTCGTCCGATGCGGCGGTGTAGTAGGCGCTGGCGGGGCCCCAGCAGGATGCTGTCCCAGCACTGAACTTGTGGGTGTGCACCCGGAAACCAAGCGCCCCAGCTCTTGCATGAGGGCAGGTCCATCCACATGAGCTGGCGAGGCATCCGCCATAAGCTGGTCCCAGCCATCGTCCATCTCGGTGGCCTGGGTGATCCTCGGCGCGATTGCGCTGAGCTGCTGGTGCGCAGCAAGCTGCTGCGCAGAGGCTTCCTGCAGCTCCGTCTCTAGTCGTTGGCAGTCTTGTAAGTGCCTGGTTCGCTCTTTGCGGTAACTCTGGCGGAGATCTGCCAGGTATTGATCCCAGCATTGCTTCTTGGCCTGGATCTCCGACTGCAACCTGAGAGTCCTGGCATCTAGCTTCCGGGTGTGATTCACCGCAGCCTGCACTAGCTGGACCAGCGTCTGGCCGCCTTGTCCTTGTGGGCCGAGTCGTCTCTCCCGGACTTCCACGATAGCACCTGTGGCGCCCGGCCTCGCATCGTACGCTGGAAAAGAAGGCCCGGACTGGTTGGCCCCTTTGTTCGCCGCCTTGCCAGACTTTGGCGACCACGATCCACGCCAGTATCCCCATCCACGTTGGGGCTGTTCGCCGCTGCCTTCGCTGCGCCATGGCCGTCCTTGTTTACCCATGCGGTAGGCGAGCTGGGTCCTGTAAGGCTTGCTGGTGGCGTGGTGCCGAACCAAGGCACCCAACTGGCCCTGTGTAACAGGCCTGTCTTGTCTTAAGCGAACGCGCGCCTTGGATCGCTTAGCCCTCCTGCGCCGGTGCCAGCTGGGAGAGGGTGGGAAGCCTATGGCGTCGTCAGCGGACCTACTGGTCCTGGGGCCTCAATGTTCCCTACAGCTCCAGCTGCTGGGCAATTTGGGCCCTAGGCATAATATTAGCAATTACTTAGCGTTCTAGATTACTTTGTGTTTGATCTCCTCTGGGACTTGCTCTACACCCTAGCCCTCTAAACCCTAAGCCCTAAACCCTCTACCTTAGACCTCGGCCGCTAAACCAACCGAAATCCTGCTGAGGTGGAACCTTGCTCACCAACCCGAAGCTCTAAAGCCCTAAACCAAACCTTAAAGCCCTAAACCCTAAACCTGAAACTCGAAAACTGAAGCCCTACGGATGATGATATAAATCCGAATCCTGCATTACCGATAGTAAGGAAATAGACCATAATTCCCATAGTTTGGGGTCCTAAGGTAATACAGGATTTAGATCATCAACAGTAGGTCACATGCAGAAGGGTTTAGATCAGGGCTTTCGGTGGGTGTACATACAGGTCCTGTTGAAAATTAGTCAGTGTAGATGTTTGGATTAAATGCCGGGAGAAAGAGAGAGAGAGAGAGAGAAGAACCGTGCCAATCCCTCTCTGTTTACCTTTGTGAAAGAAAGAACAACCACGGAATGCTTTGTTGTTGTTGTTGGAGCAAGCTGGCTGTTAGGTGCGAGGTTCAGGGCTGGGGTGCGGAGGTAAGGCAGTGCTGCGCGAGGTTCTGTTTGGTGCCAGGTGGGCAGGCAGGCGAGGTGGGGGTTGTTCAAGTAAGATGTTTTCACCACCTGTTGGGCGAGTGGAGCTCCTACCAACTGCGGGAAGACCGGCCGAGACATGTTCTCGTGTTCCGTTTTGCTCAGGGTCGCGCTGTTTGTATTTTTGGCTGTTGTGAGATCGAAGAGGCCGGGGCTCCAAGATCCTTTAGTCGGGGTTGTTTTGGGGTATTTTCCTTTTTTGGTATATTTTTTAGTTTTCGGTTCAGTGGGTACGTGAGTCCATAAGTCGGTCCAACCCAGCGGTCAGTCAGTCAGCCAGCTAGCCAGTCGGTCGCTAAGACAACGGGGCGGTCAGTCAGTCAGTCAGTCACATTCGGTCGTCCATAGAAGAGCGGTCAGTCAGTCGGTTAGCCAACCGAGCGGTCAGTCAGTCAGTCGGTCTGCCAAACGAGCTGTCAGTCAGTCCGTCGTCGTCCAGAGGGAGCTGTGAGTCAGTCAGTCGGTCCAGCAGTCCAAACAAGGGGGCGGCGTGTTTAATAACATATGTGGTGAACCGGACTCGCCACATGAAGGCGCGTGTCTAAGACATATGGTGCGCCGGAATCGCCAAATGAGGGGTTGCGATCAAAATATATAAATTACAGAAGGGGACGCCGTGGACGCTTGTTTGTGGTGTACTCCTTGTTGGTTTAGCCCTCGATGGCTGTGTTTGTCAGTGTTTGTGATACAGCAGTTGTTTGTTCCGTGTTCGCTACTTGTGTTTGTAACACACTAATTGTTTGTTTGATGCTCGCTTGTCGTGTTCCAGTGAACCCCCAGAGGGGCCAATATTAAAATTGAAAAAAAAAAGCCGTAATAGTAATATTTTAATATTGGGCCCCCGCCGGATCCAAGATCCAAGATTGCACAGGGAAGTTTTTTTGGATCCATCTTGGATCCGGCCGGCCCAATATAAAATATTTAAAAAAGCTAATATTTTGAGATTGGCGCGCGGCCCCTGGACCGGATCCAAAAAACTTTCCTGTACAATCTTGGATCTTGGATCCAGGGCGGGGCCAATATTGAAATATTCGAGAAAAAGTAATATTCTAATATTGGGCCCCCGCCGGATCCAAGATCCAAAATTGCGCAGGGAAGTTGCTTGGATGCATCTTGGATCCGGCCGGCCCAATATTAAAATATTTAAAAACAACTAATATTTTAATATTGGCGCGCGGCCCCTGGACCGGATCCAAGAAACTTTCCTGTGCAGTCTTGGATCTTGGATCCAGGGCGGGCCAATATTGAAGTATTAAAAAACAAAACGTAACATTTTGATATCGTGTCTCGGCGTCCTTAGGAATAGTCTTTGGGATCATAGTCTCAACTATTTGTACTTAATGCTGGAAAGCTCAGATAATAGGAAAATTTATATGCTATAGTCTACTCTACCACACCAAAATAGATTGGTGCCTTTGCTATACTATAGTAGACTTAAACATTTTACACCATGCGAAACTATACTGAATTGGTGCTCGACTGGGCTAGTAAGTTATACAATAATACACCAAGCCCCGTTGTATTGAACTGTATTACACTATTAAACTGTATTGTATAATAGTCGGCACTGTGCTGTACAGTACTTGATAACAGTCATCCATGCTCGAGTGTATTGTATGTCCTGTAATGAACGCTTTTGCATGATGCTATCCTATACTAAACTACATTACACTGTACCAGATTATGGTGTCAATGCTTATCTTCAAGACATATCTTCATACTAAAGTAAGCTATACCATACTGCGCTCTAGTAGCCTGTGTTATCATATATATTGTAGTAGAGCATGTGCATAGCCAATACAAGAAAATGAAGAGCATTCGATTAGTCTACTGTTAGAAGATTCATGATTAGTCTGATGGGTATTCGAACTTTGGGTGTTTCATCGTATATTTAGACAACAAACGTGCGCGACCAAAGAAAGCACAGCGACCCTGGTGCCACGAGTACTGGGCCCCAATGCGTACCTTCGATTTTCCCCGCCACTTTGGCACCGAGAGCACTGCAAGCAAATACCCTGCGGTGTCGGCCCCGAACCTTGTAAGTGGATATGGCGTGCGCATAATAACCGATTATTCGGTTCATAAATGTACATCGCCCTTTCTATGACCTATGCTCGTGCCTTATGTAATGAACTCGAATACACGGCACAATAGCACAACTCTAGACTATAATGAAGTAAGGTAAAGTGCTGGTCCACTTTTCCTTATTATATCATGCAATACTGTACGCGTCTCCCAAAGTAATACACTTGGCCATGCAACAGTGGGTTCTCCCACGCCATGCTGAGGTAGCGTTATGCTAGAGTATCGTAAACATAGTATGTGCTAGACTACACACAAGTTTAGTGCAAAACCAAAACCTATGCTATGGCGCAACTTACTCCACAATACCTTGCCGTATCATATCACAATCGACTGTAATATACTGCATTGGATTATAAGGCTTTTCGACAGTATGCAGTGTTGATATTCAAGTATTTTGTTTGACAGCCGCTCTGGAATGTGCACTGGTCCGTGTTGGTGAGGTAGTGCGACTCAGAGCTTTGAGTGACCCAGCGAAGTTGAGTACTGACCAAAATGACTGTGAGTGCATTGCTAATTACGGATGTTGAGTACTGACCAAAATGACTGTGAGTGCATTGCTAATTACGGATGCCCCTGTGAACCTCGCCTGGTGTCTTGCCGAGAGAGGGGGTCAAAAACAGTAGAGGGGCAACCCACCCAAGCTCTTAAGAGCTAAACCCTAAAGGGGCAGTAGCAAATTGCACAAATTAAAGGTTTCAAGGCTGGCAAATAGTGTGAACGACAAAGTCTCAAACCGTATTTCCCACTGCAACCGGAAAAAGGTTTGTCAACTTTCGACCACAAACCCTAAAACGCAGTCGCTGGCCTATCCAAGAACCTCAAGAATGGAGGCTGGCAAAGAACACACCTTTCCCGCCCTGAATGGGAACCCTAAGCGCTGCGAGCCTACCATTGTGTAGTGGAACACTTGCCCACCGTCGCCTGGCCAGCACGAGCGCGAGTGCCGAAACACCACAGGTCAGTGGTCGACCGCCCGACGCCCTACGGGTTCAATAGGTAAGTTTTCATCCTGAAATCTTGCTTTTTACAAATGTTTTGTGTAAGCATCTGTAAATCCGAAGCGAGCCTCAGAAATCGCGTTAGATTAGATTTTTTAGTTTCTCGCAACACGTAAACCACCAACCCCACAGCTAGAACAATACAGAAAAGTCTCCACCCTATGAGCTGCCTCGAACATGACTGTGCCTGCAACCGGCTCCAACGACCTCTCACTGTGGGGTTTGTACCACCAGTCCATCGCACAATTCTGACATCCAATTCTTTTAGCTTTGCAGCCGAGGGCACATCCTGCAAATTGAGACACCAAAGTCCAACCTGGCCTTCATCGCTCGCATCTCAGAAGCTGCTGCAAGACTGGCTCCTCGAACCTCCTACCGACCCAATCCACGAGGCGTTTGCAGAAAAGGCTGACGCTCAAGAAGCCATGGAGCCGGAGACATACGATCAAAAGTTGCAATGCTCCACAAGTTACGACTTGCGGGACCAGGAAAATCAGAATTGCTTAGAAACCCTTTGTGCAGCGGCAAGATAAACGATGCATCAGGGCTATGGACGGCAAGAATCTGGACGGACAGACGCTGACTGTGAGCAAAGCTGGGCCGGGGACTCAACTGAGCGAGGCAGAGGGTCCGGGAGCCTTCTGCCCCAGGGGTGGAAGAGGGACCTTTTTGGGTGATGCTTTCGGTTTGCCTGGGTCAAGCTTCAGCCCTCTTTTCAAGCTGTTCGTGATCGTCTTCAAGCCCAGGCCAAAACCAACCTATCGACCTACGACGGATCCCAACGAGAACTTCAAAAAGGCCATCCTGATTGATGAGCGGCGAGTTTTTGCTCCTGTCAAAGACTATCCCGAGGTCCTGATGACTACGCAAACTGAGCGTGAGAACGTGCGATATCGCAAAGATGTGGAGAAGGCAGCTCGGGCATTGCGACGTGCGACTTGAGGAAAGGCGACAAGAACGGAGCCTCGAGATCGGCTTGCAGAATGCCGCTACCCCTCGCAGCTGAGAGCATCGGCATCTGAGCAATCTATAGGGCAATTGCCTTGTTCTGCCTGCTCGTGGTGTGCAGGCAGCCGAGAAGCTGCGCCCCAGAAGCAGGTCGTAATGTAAGTGGTGTTGCATGCTCAGTTCGCACCTTGGCAACATGCGCGACAGTTTTTGTAGCAGGAGTCGCAGTGTCAGAAGACGCCGGCCTCTCAATAAATGCCTACCGGTCTATACAGACATGCAGGACATCTTGGCACGGCCGAGTCAAGCCTAAGAGGAGGAAGTGGCTTGCTTGACGAGGCTCTCGACACAGCCAGTCTTGCAGTCCGCCGAGAAGAAAAAAGAAAAGCCGATGCTTGGCAACTTCCAACATGAAGTGCAGTGCTGCCCCATCTCTTTTGCATCGGTTTCTAGATTTCCGTTGCCCATTAAGGAGAGAGAAGTTTGCGCCCGTCACGGCGAAAAGGGCCAAGCGCAAGCATGAGCCTTTGCAACATGTTGCAGAGTTTCAGTGGGTGCTAGGTGCAAGGGTACACTCTGAGGTCGCAGTCGCAGTGGCTCTCCACGTCGGAGAACCCAGACATGCCATGACATGCCCAGACTGCACTGAGCAGAGCTGTCCAAATTTCAAGAGAACCGGAATCGCAAATGCTTGGCAGAGCCAACGTTTATTCAGGAAAGCCTGTCGTTCTTTGTGACGCTTTGTGGGTCCTGTGACATGCCCTATCCACACTGTATGCTTCCTGCTTTATCCTGAAGGTCGAGGACGGGGCCCTGCCCAAAAGAGAGGGCGGAGCAGCCTGGCCCCGAAGATAACAATTTCTCCCAGTGGCTTTCCGTGTTGCGACTCACACACATCTTTCTGAGGCCGAAGCAGAAGCTAGAGCAACAGTATGGGCGGAAGACGGGTGAAAAAAATCGGAATGCTTGCAGTTGCACGGCGCAAATAGCACTTCACTAGAACGCTTGTGGGAGCCTGAGGCAGCATGTGTTGGCTTTGATGATCGACAGGAGCACGAACACCAGAATATCTTGTCCAAATGAAGCCTTGCGCCCCAAAGTCCGCAAGCCCTGGACTCACGAACCCCATAGTTTTGTCACGCTGCGAAAATATACAAGAAATGTAATATAGCATACTGGATGCATAGCCATGAACACGTACAGACAAGCCTGCATTTGCGTGCCGCCTTCCCGCTCTGTCCAGAGGATGCTCGAAAGGTGCACAAGAAGAGGCGAACCAAACTGTGATGTAAGATGCGCTGTTCGCGTGATGAAATACACAATGGAGATGTGGTGGTGTGTTCCAATGTGGATTCAGCCCATGTGCACAAGCAGCAAGCAGGCAAGTGCCAAGGCTGGCGATACATAATGCCCAAGTTTCATCGTTTGATCGAGAGGATTACTATTATTATCTAACTCTAAAGAACTATTGTTTACAAATGTCTACAGTATTTTCGAATTAAAGCATTGCAACATTGGAAAAATATGATTTGGCTGCTAAAAGATTTGGATCTTAGGGGGAAGGCCAAAATTCACTCTCCGCCCCGCCGGCCTACAAAATTCAGGAATTTATTATTTACGTGAAAAATTCATCGAATGACAAGATCAACGAAGATAATTGCGAATAAATCTAGGTTTAGAATCGAGGAGCATACGTAGTTCGTTCTGGTTCTTGATTGTCTAGTTTTAAAAAATATACCTAGATTAGAAAAGGGTGTGATTTCTAGATTCTATACTTTTAATTTGAATATATTCTCTAATGAAACGACGTCGTGCTGCTTGCGCCCGCGATTTTCTGCGTGCCCCTGACCCCCTGTAACCGCGAAAGCCTCGTACGTGCCTGCCTCGCGATACTAAAATTTCAGAAGTTTTGGTAGCTTTAGTTGTCTCGCGGTATCAAAATTTCAGAAATGTTGGTGCTTTAGGAGGACATGCTCCCGGTAATTAAATTTCCGAAATTTTGGCAGGCATGCTCGCGGTCATAAAATTTCCGAAATTTTTGGGAAACATGCTAGCGGCAAAAACTTATTCCGGAATTTTAGTACCGCGGGCTCCAGTGCCGTGCTTTCTGAATGCAGGTGTCTCTCTGTTTATCTCTCTTTGTGCGACTCTCGTTCGTCTGTGTCTGTCTGTCTCTATGAGTCTCTGTCTGGCTGTGTCTGTCTCTGTCTGTCTCTATTTGTCTGTATTCGTGCGTGTCTGTCTGTATTTGTCTCTGTCTATCTGTGTCTGTCCGTATTTGTCTCTGTCTATTTATCTCTTTCTGTCTCTATTCGGTCTATTTATTTGACATCTGATTGTAGTCGGATTATGCTCGCTGAATGGAATTGAAAATTCCGAATTTAATTGAGATTCATGAAATACTCAGGATAATAGATTTTGAATTAATAATAAGAATTATTTAAATACTAAATTTAGTATTAAGGTTATTAATTTATTCATGAATATATGGGGGGTTTCCGAAAATAGGGGACTTTAATATAGTACCCTAAATAATAGGGTCCTTATTATAAAGACCCCAAAATAAGGTACTCCTAATTTTCGGAAACTCCCATATAGGTA